TTTTAGCCATGGCGGCCATCTTGGTTGGTTGGCCGGGTCACCGGACACATTTTTTAAACAAGATACCCCAATGATGATTGTGGCTAAGTTTGGTTTAATTTGGTCCAGTAGTTTCAGAGGAGAAGATTTTTGTAAAAGTTAACGACGACGGACGACGACGACGGACGCCAAGTGATGAGAAAAGCTCACTTGGCCCTTTGGGCCAGGTGAGCTAAAAAGAAATATATTCTTAATAGGAAAACAAATTCATGCAATATTTCTATATAATAATAAATTATTCAAATAATGATGGATGTACTCGTAACAATCCAAAATGTGAAAAAAAAATCTACATCAGATCTATAATACAGCGACAGTCTTCAACAACTTACAACATGACATATTATGCAAATTAAAATGGAGGAAAAATAAAAATTACAAATGTACAACTAGTTTGATGTGAATAGCTGAGTTTAAAATTGATATTCTGCGATTGGAGATTTGAAAGAGTCTACTGATGTGCAATTGATGATGTTATCGGATAGTTTGTTTCAGTCGGTTCTTGTTCTCGGTAAGGGGGATCTATTCTGTACTGTGTTTTGCGGGATGGAATTTGGAAAACTGTTTGAATTTGAATGTCTTGTTTGTCTTTTTTCTGGAAATAATTTGTTGTTCTTAGGTGTTGCAACTTTTTCGTGTTCTCTTTTTTTAAATAGCATTACCAATCGTGAATCTTTTTTTTTTTATTTCAAGGTGTTGTAACATGTTGCCAATGCTTGAAGTGTATCGATTGATTGATTGATTCTCTTTATTTCCTCAATTATACTGAAGATTTGCATTTTTTAACACAAGTATACAAATTACAAGAAAAGAACAACATATAAGTTAAAAACTACAATTAAAGAAAAAAAAAACAAAAACAAAAGTTAACAGATTGCATAAAATATGTAATACCACCAGGTAAGGCTACGACAATAATTATCGTCACCATCTTGCTGAAAAAAGCATACAGATTCCTGAACTGGTAAAACATCAACAACTCAGTTGAACAAGTTATTTCTTGCATCAAAAAGTTTTTCGCAGTACAAAATTAAATGTTGCGACATTAGTGTAATGACAACGGCATAAAGAGCATTGGTCATCCTTTATTGCTATTGAGCCCAGTTTTACCATGACTAATAATTTATGATTCAAATGCGGGTAGACAACGGCAAGACGTAAAAGTCTGTGAAATGATAATATGTTGTGAATTTGTTGTAAGTAAAGGTATCAAACAGAGAATGCATACTCTAGTGATGGTCTTACTAGAGGCTTGTATGTCTGCTGTAATAAAGCCTCTAGTGCTATTTGTTTTCTTGCATATGTTGTTTATGTGTACATGCTATTTAAGGTTAGAGCTGATGGTTACCCCAGATATTTTACTGTTGTAACATGTTCTAAGAGTGATTGTGCAATGTGCAGTTAAATGCGTTTTTTCTTAAGTTTCTCGGGTGACTGAAATAGCATTAAACTTACTCTGGGTAGAATGCCATTTTCCACGCAGTTTCCCATGATGCCAATTTGTCAAGATCTTATTGTAATGTAGATGCATCAGAATTTGATTTAATTGCTAAATAAACAATGGTGGCATCTGCAAATGTAAGATCGGTTGGATTATCGTTTATGTAGTACAGGAAAATACTCGTCAAAGTACGATTGTAGACCACTGTGGAACCCCTGACTCCACTGTTACATACTCGGAGTACGATTGTAGACCACTGTGGAACCCCTGACTCCACTGTTACATACTCGGAGTACGATTGTAGACCACTGTGGAACCCCTGACTCCACTGTTACATACTCGGAGTACGATTGTAGACCACTGTGGAACCCCTGACTCCACTGTTACATACTCGGAGTACGATTGTAGACCACTGTGGAACCCCTGACTCCACTGTTACATACTCAAAGTACGATTGTAGACCACTGTGGAACCCCTGACTCCACTGTTACATACTCAAAGTACGATTGTAGACCACTGTGGAACCCCTGACTCCACTGTTACATACTCGAAGTACGATTGTAGACCACTGTGGAACCCCTGACTCCACTGTTACATACTCGAAGTACGATTGTAGACCACTGTGGAACCCCTGACTCCACTGTTACATACTCGGAGTACGATTGTAGACCACTGTGGAAACCCTGACTCCACTGTTACATACTCGGAGTACGATTGTAGACCACTGTGGAAACCCTGACTCCACTGTTACATACTCGGAGTACGATTGTAGACCACTGTGGAACCCCTGACTCCACTGTTACATACTCAAAGTACGATTGTAGACCACTGTGGAACCCCTGACTCCACTGTTACATACTCAAAGTACGATTGTAGACCACTGTGGAACCCCTGACTCTATTGTTACATACTCAAAGTACGATTGTAGACCACTGTGGAACCCCTGACTCCACTGTTACATACTCGGAGTACGATTGTAGACCACTGTGGAACCCCTGACTCCACTGTTACATATAGTACGATTGTAGACCACTGTGGAACCCCTGACTCCACTGTTACATACTCGAAGTACGATTGTAGACCACTGTGGAACCCCTGACTCCACTGTTACATACTCGAAGTACGATTGTAGACCACTGTGGAACCCCTGACTCCACTGTTACATACTCGAAGTACGATTGTAGACCACTGTGGAACCCCTGACTCCACTGTTACATACTCGAAGTACGATTGTAGACCACTGTGGAACCCCTGACTCCACTGTTACATACTCGGAGTACGATTGTAGACCACTGTGGAACCCCTGACTCCACTGTTACATATAGTACGATTGTAGACCACTGTGGAACCCCTGACTCCACTGTTACATACTCGAAGTACGATTGTAGACCACTGTGGAACCCCTGACTCCACTGTTACATACTCGAAGTACGATTGTAGACCACTGTGGAACCCCTGACTCCACTGTTACATACTCGAAGTACGATTGTAGACCACTGTGGAACCCCTGACTCCACTGTTACATACTCGAAGTACGATTGTAGACCACTGTGGAACCCCTGACTCCACTGTTACATACTCGGAGTACGATTGTAGACCACTGTGGAACCCCTGACTCCACTGTTACATATAGTACGATTGTAGACCACTGTGGAACCCCTGACTCCACTGTTACATACTCGAAGTACGATTGTAGACCACTGTGGAACCCCTGACTCCACTGTTACATACTCGAAGTACGATTGTAGACCACTGTGGAACCCCTGACTCCACTGTTACATACTCGAAGTACGATTGTAGACCACTGTGGAACCCCTGACTCAAGTACGATTGTAGACCACTGTGGAACCCCTGACTCCACTGTTACATATAGTACGATTGTAGACCACTGTGGAACCCCTGACTCCACTGTTACATACTCGGATTCCCCTTTCGCTCTAAATTGATTAAAACTACTGCTTTCTTGCGTTGCTTTAGAAATTTTATATCCAGATTTTTAGTTCCCCCTGTATCCCGTAATGGTGAAGTTTGTTAATGAGCAGAGAATGTGAAACTTTATCAAACGCTTTTTGAGAAATCCATGACCAAAATATTTGTTTGTTTACCATTGTCCATGTTAAGTGAAACATCATCTATAAATTGAAGTAATAGTGTATCACAGGATCGACTCTGCGAAAACCATGCTGTAGGGGATATAAAATGTTGTAATTATCTGCATGTTTCATGATGTGTTTAACCACCAGGTGTTCTATAAGTTTGTAACAAATACATGTGAGTGATATATAGCCTAGGGTTGTAATTTTCAGGGTTATATTTTTGACCTTTCAAGTATGTATTCATGTGAGACATGGACAGTTTTCCAGTCTTCTGAACAATAAATTAAATGCTTTAACTGACAAAGATGATGGTAATTTCATGTGATAGTTCTTTTTAAAATCTTGGTTTAATTTCATCTGGTCCTGCTGCTTTGTTTAAATCGAAGTTCTGTAAAAGTTTTTTGTACGCCTTCTGCTTTTATGAATCATTTTGATATTGATGGAAAAAGAGCATATTTTGGCATGTTGCGCTGTTTGACAAATTCTATATATGAGATATATTGGTTAAAATTGCCAGTGTAAATACAAACTGAAATTGTGCATTAAGTGCACAAGCTTTTTGTAGTGGGTCAGTCTGTTAGGAGTTGTCCTTCTTGTGTATTTTCAGTAATACCATTATAATCAATTTTTTATCGTGTTTAATTTAAGTCAAATTTTTTGCATAGTGCAAAATCTTATTTCATCTTGTGGTGGTATTTTGATTTCCGTATAAGTCGTGTAAGTTTTAACCTCTTTGAATTTTTAGTAAATGTTGGATTCCCATATTTTTTCAATTTTTATAAATTTAAAAAATTAAACTAAAAAAGACTCATGAAATAAAAATAAAAACTCCCTCTTTTCCCCATAAAAATAACACAAAATAAAAAGCAGACGTATTTTGTGTTGATGGATAAATTTTTGAAAATCCTGCCAAAATGGGCTTCAGCTTGTATACATATACTCTGCATTATACTTAACATCCACTAACATTTAAGTATGAGTATAATGTATACAGGCTGAAGCCCCACCTATCTATTGATTGCAGATGTCAAGCCCAAGAAGTACTAATTGGTTAATCGTGTAATATTTTTATATCTAAATGAAATGACCAAGCTGATGAACAAATCTCTGCTGTTTCTATTTTGAGAAAAAGAGGTAATATTGTTCTCTGCGATTACCGGCTTATTTGAGCCTATTAGGACATAATGGAGGTACCTCCATTACGACCTTCTTTCAAACTTTTCTTTGTTGCCTATATACGTGGTCCGAATTGTCTTTTTAACTGGTCCGAGGTGTCCTTTAAAATAGTCCAAGTTGTCTCAAAATTAGTCAGAGTTGGCTTGGTCCGACTTGTATTTGGTTCGAGTTGTCATATATTCCTATATATCACATGAGCGCTTGATAATGCACATTTTAAAATATTTTATATCAAGGGCTTGCAGGACACAGATTAAGTGTGATCCGTAAGTTCTGGAAAAGAAAGCGGTACCAGCTATACCCGCATCTTTTTCCTTATTTTAATCTGTTACCTCAGACGTTACTTCTAAAAAATGCCAGAAGAAAATTCAAACGACGAATTTCCAAAGATTGATGTTTCGCTTGAGCAAGATGGAGGCATTTTGAAACAAATATTACATGAAGGAGAGGGTGAAGAGAAACCACTAAACGGCGACACAGTGTCAGTTCATTATGTTGGTTGTTTAGATGACGGAACAGAGTTTGATTCAAGTCGGTCAAGAGGAGAACGATTTACATTTGAACTTGGAAAGGGTAAAAATCATAAATCACGTAAACACACACCAGTCTGCAGTCACCACGCTCGCACACAGTCTTATTGAGTTATTCATGTTATTAGCTGAAACCGAAAGTAGAAAATTAATGAACAGGAAGTCTGTTTATATTCTGCTTTCTACAAAGTAAAAAAGATGCTGAGTGAAAGAAATCACACAAACGAACCTTCTTTCAAAATTTTTGGAAGAAATATAATTTGGAGAACAGAGTTTTTAAGTCACGATCCATACATGCCATAGAAACACCACAGAAACCTCAGAATTCCTGTATTTTAAAAATTTTAGGTGTAACACATTCCCTTACAGGTTGCGGCCTGTTATCATGGTTATCTGATTCTAGATTTCTAGATTGAAAATATATTTCTTGTTTCACACTTTACAGAGTGATACATGTATAATGCCAAACAAAATTGGTACAAGTCAAATCGGCACCTATTTAAAGTCAGTTTGGCATTTGGTTATTCAATATTCGGCACCTAATATTATTTTAAAACGACCGACCGCCAAATAAATTTTGCAGTCGTATATTGGTATGACGTTGGCGGCGTCATCGTCGTCGTCCGAAGACACATTGGTTTTCGCACTCTAACTTTAGTTTAAGGGAATGGATCTCTATGAAATTTTACTATAAGGTTCAATACCACAAAAGGATAGTTGGGATTGATTTTGGGGGTTATGGTACCAACAGTTAAGGAATTAGGGGCCAAAAATAAGCATTTTTGTAACTTCCAGACTTAACTTGTGTGTTAGTGTATGGATCTCTCTGACATTGTACCACAATGTTCCATATCACAAAGGGAATGCTGTGATTGATTTTGGGGGTAATCGCCTCAAAATTTTAGGAATTAGGGGCCAAAAAAGGGGCAAAAAACAAGCATTTTTCTAGTTTCATGACAATAACTTGTGTGTAAGTGTATGGATCTTTCTGAAATTGTACTACAAGGTTCCATATCACAAAGGGAATGCTGGGTTTGAGTTTGGGGGTAATTGCCCAAAACGTTTAGGAATTGGGGGCCAAAAATAAGCATTTTTCTAGTTTCCAGACAATAACTTGTGTTCAAGTGTATGGATCTCCCTGAAATTGTACTGCAAGGTACCATACCACAAAGGGAAGGCTGGGATTGATTTTGGGGGTAATTGCCTCAAAATTTTAGGAATAAGGGGGCAAAAAGGGGCCAAAAACATTTTCTAGTTTCATGACAATAACTTGTGTGTAAGTGTATGGATCTTTATGAAATTGTACTACAAGGTTCCATATCACAAAGGGAAAGCTGGGTTTGAGTTTGCGGGTAATTGCCAAAAACGTTTAGGAATTTGGGGCCAAAAAGGGGCCAAAAAGCAAGCATTTTTCTAGTTTCCAGACAATAACTTGTGTTCAAGTGTATGGATCTCTCTGAAATTGTACTGCAAGGTACCATACCACTAAGGGAAGGCTGGGATTGAGTTTGGGAGTGATGAATCATAAGGGGGTTCAAAAAATTTGGGGGGAGGGAATTTTTTTTTCTTTAAAATTTTCCATTTTAAATTGGTTATTTCTGAGTTATATATAAAAGCAAATAATAATGATATGGTTTGAATAGGTAAATTAAAAATTTATAAGTTCTTAGACCACATTCATTTTGTGTCAGAAACCTATACTGTGTCAAATATTTAATCACAATCCAAATTCAGTGTGTATCAAGCTTGAATGTTGTGTCCATACTTGCCCCCACTGTTCAGGGTTCGACCTCTGCGGTCGTATCAAGCTGCGCCCAGCGCAGCATTTTATTACCTTTTTCTTTCCTTTTTATATGAGGTATGGGGAGAACAGTGTTTTGTGGGGTTTTTTTTGTGGATTATATATTTTTAATTCAAAACTTACAATTTCAAACGTTAATTAAAAAGATACATATTCGTTTTTTGTTAAAAATCAGCACATGTAATTAAGCAGTTAGAATACACAATAAAAAATAATCAGTTGGCTTTCTGTTTAAAGTTTTCTCCTTAAGAATGTGACTTTGGCAATGTTTGGTATCTTTTGCCTCCCTTTCTCAATATTCTATGAATAATGTTTTGATTGGTTATCAGTTTAAAAACTTATGAATATGAACTTATATCAATTCCAAACAATAACCTGTGTATTGTTTAACAATTTTGAGGTAGTTTTTGGAAAATGACGCTATCAGCGGCATGTTTCCGATACCATTGACCAGAACTAACGGAAGTTGATTATGCCTCCGCCTACCGCACTCGGTTTCATATTTACTATTTTACATACTATTACTAACTGGAATCTGCTTGTATTACGCTACACTCGAACAAAGTGTTGTAGTCGGACGGGAACCAGTTTACATACTTAATTTTATTTACCAAAAAGATATCTTGACCTGTCCATATGTTTTTTGTTATTAAATGGTATTTGGAGCTATCCCTTTGTTATATTTTTCATATTTATTTAAGCTTTCACTTTTATGCACATGTCTTACAATCGTAAACAATCGGTATGTATACATGATAAATAGATCCGTTTTGTTATGGTGTTGGACTTTTTACCCTCCAATGATCAGCAATCGCTAGACAAAATAGTTCTCCTAAATAATGTCAGCCTTTCATGCCATTTCTACTTTACAATCATTAAAAAAGTAATAACCGGAATCATTTTGATATCCATTGGATAGAAACTGGTCTTGATCCAGATTTACGAAGATTTTAATAATCGGATATTAGTAATACGGTTATACCCACGCGGTGCGTATGAATCTTTGTTTACAAAGTTATAGCAGCAGAGTCTGTAACTGTATCATTGTTAGTTAACTACACTGTTATTGTACTTAATATGATGAAAACTGCATATGCAATATAAGATGTCAACTCGGCCAATACAGATTTTTTTCCGTATTGGCCGAGTTCTGATCCGGCCAAAACAGGATTTCGGAACGTCTCTAGACAAGTCTAGTTTTTAGATCGTAAGTCAGGATAAACTCAAACTGAAAGTAAACAGTTGTTTGTACGACGCAGTTTTTATTTACTCACCATAAACAAGCTGAAACGTTCAGTATGGCATATATTTTAGGTTAAAGACGGTCCCATTCATTTAAAAAGCATTTTGAAAGTAGACGATGGAATTATTTCAGGTTTGGGGAACGAGTAAATTATCACAAAGTTCATTTCTTGACGACCTCATAATTTCATCATGTCGATGGTACAAATCGATTTTTACTGTTCACTTTCGCTTCTCATGTTTTGTAAACGGTCTTTTATTTTTAAACCCGAACCAGGCATATGCATTCTGTAATTGCGCAAATCTTCGTTCTTTGGTCAATTGGTTTATGGATAGTTGTATCAATTTCAACTCTTACATTATTTAAAAAAAAAATATATTTGCATTACACATGCAATGGCAGTACCTTTCCAATTACTATTTATGTGTTGTGTCTAAATTAAAGTTGTAACACTTTATAGTGACTGGAAAGGGTAGATAAATTCATCAGATGAGAACAGGCTGAAGATACATGGAAACGGCACCAAATCATCAGATATTGCATCTTATAAAAAGAAACTGAGATTTGGATAGTTCCACTTCAAGGTAAAAATGTTTATCTCTTGTGAAATGGAATAAAAAAATATTGTAACACTGTAGTTAATTAATAAAGATACTATTACATGTATTTCTGTATTGGCCTTATTGTTGGTCCTCGGCATGCAGTACACCAAGACATGACCCAATAACAAGGACAATACAGAAATACTTACGCAATAATATTATAGAATGACAGTATGGTTCAATAGCGGGAATCAGCCCCTCAACTACTTTCACATAAATATCAACTTCTGGCTTCAACTCCTTGTTCGTCTTGTCTGGAGATCTTGTTGTAGTTCCAGTTAGGCAAGCATTTTAGAGACGTATCCCGTCCATCCTCTCTTGACTTGTAATTTCTGGTGATAGATTTTGCCGCTTGACGTTGTATCCTTTCAAGCTTGTTTTTTTTTTGTTACCGTGTAGGGGTCCCATACTATGGCTCCATATTAAATTGTAAGATCCATTCCTAAAGGTCTAGATCATTGTTCTAATCTGACACAAATTTCAATAACTGGAATGCTACCCAAGTTGAATATATGGTGACCTACTAGAACAGCATTATCACTATTGAAATTGTGTTTAATACCATGATTGTTCAATGTCATTAACTTAAATGGAGACAGACATTTGACCCGAAAGGTGGTGTGGGAGTGCAAAATCAAAAACTAACTAACTATGATATATGGTTAAAGAATGAATATCAATTACATGGGTCAACATGGTCAAGGGCAGAGTTGTTATGAAATATCAATATGGCAGAGAAGTGGTTTCAAGTTTCATATAAAGCGACCTGACTGACATGAAATAAAAAATCAAAGGAGTATCCCTATTTGTCTAATCTTCAAGGTGAAATAAAACTAGTAAAACAATATTATACTATTGTCTAAATCTACAGAAATATTTTTTGCTTCAAGTAACAGAAATAACTAGGTCACTAGTAACTTATTTAATGAGTACATGTATGTGGGGTATGAGAGCTTGATAACAACAGGCTCTTCATAATCATTTGGTTTGAAAAGGATACTAGTAGTCTATATTCTTGATTTAGAAAAATGTAATTGCAAGACAAAAATCACATTACTTAGAATACTTTAGATCATTCAGGTAGTCTTCATTTATATGTACAAAAGAACAGCCAGTGGTCATTGGATATTGTAGATCATTCAAATAGTCTTGACCTATTTATTAGTACAAAAGAACAGCCAGTAGTCATTGGATATTGTAGATCATTCTGGTAGTCTTGACCTATTTATTTATAGAAAAAAAACAGCCAGTAGTCATTGGATACTGTAGATCATTCAGGTAGTCTTGACCTATACATTTGTACTAAAAAAACAGCCAGTTGTCATCTTCACATAACACACACATATACGAATATCAATTATATGCTTACGAGACATGTTGGAATGTTAAACTAATTA